TGCATTATATGTATGTATGTATTATTATATATATAATATATATAATATATATATATATATATATATAATATATATATATTATATATATATATATATATATATATATTATATATATATATATATATATTAGTATATATATATATATATATATATATATATATATATATATATATATATATATATATATATATATATATATACCTATATATATTATATATATATATATATGTATGTATATGTATGTGCGTTAATGTGTGTGTTGGGATTAAATAATGCCCATTAATAGTAAAGATTTTGTGCTTTGCGATATAAGAAGCCCTATTACGTTTCGTTCCATTGATCGCCATAAAACTGTCCATAAAATATGACGTTAAATGCCCCCAATCTGTCTCGGAAAATCTTTCACTCTCGGCGTCAGCTCTCGTTGTGAATAGGCATGCTTAACGTGTGCAATTTGGCGCGAAATGGCCGAGGAGTGTGTCCGTTGAAGACTAATGTGTCTCTTCGGATTATTCACCGGCGATGAATAGGAAGACCTTGGATTTGCTCACTCATTCCAGGGGACGTGTGTGCAGGCTTCATGCAAGGGTGGTGTGAAGCGATGGTGTGGTAGCCTAGATAGTGTTAAGTGCTTGCATGCCTTCTCGCTTGCAGCTGCCACCGCTGGCTAGCCTTGTGCGAAAAAAGGAGCAGCGCTGCATAAGTCTCCCCTGCCAGTGCATAGCCTCTCCATCATCGAGACTTCTGCAATGCCTCCTCGTGGCCACCTATGGAAACTGGTGTCTTGCGGTCCCAGGCTGAACTGTAAGAGATCTCGGAGCAGGAGGAGGCCCCAGAGGTACAGGGTCATGGCCCACCAGCGTGTGGACACGCCCCTGGCCTTTACTAACTCTTTGCCCCTAAGCCCCCTGGGGTTAATGGGAGGCTCGGGGGAGGTGGGCCTTGCCAGTCTTTCTCTCCCCAGAGAATAACCCACTGGCAGTGTTTCAAATAAGTGGTAATGCTGGGGGGAGGGGAAAAGTCCCTCCTACCCAGCGAGAGAGGCGGGCTGCGGGCCCCGCTGGGAGGGTGGCTGCTGGGGTGCAGGATGGGAATGGGAGCTCCTTGTTTCACCTGCGTGCTGGCAGCCGCCAGCCCGATATGAAACTTGTGGGGCAAAGCCCTAGGGAACCCCACAGGTGGATGTTGGGTCCCGCAGCCTGCCGCCTTTTATGTGGGGCAGCGTCGGCGGGGGTGGCAGAGGTGGTGTCCACCCGGAGTGACTGCCCGAGGGTTAACCTCAGACGGGAAGTCAGGGTGGGGGCTTGGAACGTCCGCTCTTTGCGTCAGGATGATCGGTTGCCCCTGCTATCGAGGGAACTGGGGAGGCTGAGAGTTGGGGTGGCTGCTCTCTCGGAGGTGAGAAGACCTGGCAGCAACCTGAGCAGTGTAGGTGGCTACACCTATTACTGGTCAGGCCACAGCGATGGTCACCATCTTCAGGGAGTAGGCATAGCTATCTCCAGTAGGCTTCAGCCCTCGGTGGTAGAGGTCACTCCAGTCGATGAGCATATAATGGTAATGAGGCTGAAGCTGTCTTTTGGCTTCATGTGTCTTATTGCTGTGGACGCTCCTACCGATGTTTGTAAACTCGACGTGAAAGAGATGTTCTACACCAAACTTGCATCTGTGGCAGACAGTTGTCCCTGGCGAGATATTCGTATTATTCTGGGTGACTTCATTGTGGTATCTGGCTGCGATCGAGCTGGCTATGAGATAGTCGGCCCCCATGGCTCAGGAGTTGATACCGGCAGCGAGAATTCCCTCCTTTTCCGGGATTTTGCAAGGAGGTCGAAGGCCATTTCTTAGTAAATGATCTTCGTTCTGCATACCAAGCCCTGAGAAAACTGAACTCCAAGCCCTCTTCATAGGTGACTGCAGTTCGCTTAGTAGGTGGCCAGATCGTCTTAGATCCTGTTACGGTGCGGCAACGTTGGGCTGAGTATTTTGAGCAGTTGTACCAGGTTGACCCTCCAACAGTTAACTTGAATGCGGGTAGTGCCGTGATTCCACTGCCGGACCCACCCATTAGCGAGGACCCACCCTCCCTAGCTGAAGTTGGGGAGGCGATCTCCAAGCTGAAGAGTGGTAAAGCAGCAGGTATTTGCGGCATCCCAGCTGAACTGTTAAAGGCTGGTGGTGAACCTATGGCGCGGGGATTGCATGCTGCCCTGGCTGCCATCTGACGGTCCGGTACCGTTCCCCCTGACCTGTTGAGAGGTGTGGTCATCCCTCTCTGGAAGGGGAAGGGGGACCGATGGGACTGCAGCAATCATCTCGGCATCACACTGCTCAGTGTACCAGGCAAGTTTCTTGCCCACAGCCTTCTGAGGCGTATTAGAGACCATCTACTAAGGCATCAGAGACCGGAGCAATCTGGATTCACTCCTGGTAAGTCCACAATAGACCGTATCTTTGCGATACGAGTCATTGTAGAACGCCGTCGTGAGTTCGGAAAGGG